AAAATACATCCTGCATATCAGATATTTACATGATGATTCATAGCAGTAGTAAAATTACAGTTATGAAGTAGCAACAAAAATAATTTTATGGTTGGCAGTCACCACAACATGAGGAACTGTATTAAAGGGTCTCGGCATGAGGAAGGTTGAGAACCACTTCCTTAGAGTCTTCCTGTGGCATCCGCACTAGTCTGTGATTTGCTATTCACAAGTAACCTCTAATTGGTTCACCACAATATTGCCTTGCTTATAGTAAGTGGTGTTTTCTCCATCAAATTTCACTTGCATATTTGTTAAAACTCAAATAACCATACTTTTGTGGGTCTCTTTCTAGATTCATTATTCTATTCCATTGATTTCTGTGCCTCCTTTTATCAATGCCACAATCGTGATTGTATAACTTAATAGTAAGTTTTAAAAATCAAAAATCAGGTTTTATTATTCCTCCAACTTTTTTTCTTCCTTTCCAGAATTATTTGAGCTTGTCTACTTCCTTTGCCCTTCCATGTAAATTTTAGGATCAGCTGATTATATCCATAAAAAAATCCTGATTTTTTTTAAACTATTGCATCAAATCTGTATGCAGCTTGGGAGAATTAACATCTTTACTCTATTTACTCTTCCGTTCTATGAGCACATTGCTATGACTCCATTTGTATTTTTAGCTTTTTATTGTGTAGTTTATTTATTTCAAATTCTGTTGTTAGGTGCATACACACTTAGGATTGTTATGCTTTGGATAAATTTACCATTTTATCAATATGTAATATTCCCTCGTTATCCCTGCTAATTTTCTCTGTGCTGAAATCCACTCCATCTGATATTAGTTTAGGTACTCCAGCTCTCTTTTGATTAATGTTTGCATGGTATAGCTTTTCCTTTTTTTCCCCCTCTGCAACAACATTCTTTTTTCCCCCTTTTCCTCCACCCCCACATAGCACACACACCCCCCATCACATTCTTTCTCCTTCTGAGACTCTAATGAACATTGGGGTTGGGTGGGGGGGTGTCCCACTGGTCTTTGAGCCTCTGTTCATTTTCCTTTAGGGCATTTTCTTCTCTATGTTGAGACTGGGTAGTTTCTATTGTTCTGTCTTCCAGTTCCAGTATTTTCTTCTGTCCCATCCATTCTGTTGGTGACACTCCTAGGACGAGGACAGGGGAAGTAGTGTCCTTCTTTTACAGATGAAGGAAGACCTCTGAGAGGTGTCTTGATAGCAGGGTCCCACAGCTAATGAGTGCCTGAGCTAAGGTTGGCCGTCGGTCCTGCTTTCTGCCCTGCTCTCCTGCCACCGTGGAAGTGTTGCAGGAGCTGGCAAGACAACAGTTACCCTTCTTCCTCCTGTGAAGATCCTGTCTGCTGTATATACATGCCCCTGAGAGCTCACTGGAGAGGAATATCCATAGCCTTGTCCATTAAACACCAAGACCCATTGGCCCTGCCTAGATCCTGTCATGTGGTCTACGAAAACAGGGCTACATATTACAGGTTAAGAAACTAGTGACAGGGAGTCCAGGTCAGCTGTCTGGGCAGGAAGTGGTGCTGAGGATGGACAGAGATATCGCAGGAAGGAGTTCAGCATTGATCAGGAGACAGAGGGGTCCAGCTCATCAGTGCAACTCACTTGGGCCCACATTCTGGCCATCCACTTCTCCGTGGATTGGCCACAGGCAAGATAGCTACTTCCTGGTGCTCGTGTTTGCCTTTTGCTCACCTGCGAAGTGGTGAATGTAAGAATACAAGCATCCATGTGCAGGGGTATGTGCCCCAGAAGTGGTGGTTGGCACTTAGCACCAGGGTGGGAAGGGAAAGAGCACTGTTGCCCCGTAGTAATTCAGTGGCTCTTGAATGATATTTTATATGGCAAATACAGCCATGAACAGAACAAAGTGGGAGGCTGCAGGAGATAAAAATGGCAGATTACCTCAGGCAGGGCCAGCTGTGATTTCCACAGTGCAAAAGCTGGCAAAAGAAGACCCCGGCACAAGCCACCTTCGCATACTCTTCCACATGGTACCCCCCAGGAAGCTCAAAGAACAACATTGCCTTTGTAGATGAGGCTGCGGGTGGAGTGGTTGCTCTGGGTTGACTCAACAACCCCTCTGACCCCCTGAATCCAGCAGGTGTGGGTCCCCAGTCAGGGGCGGTGCTGCTGGAGAAAGTGCAATCCCTCTTCACACTGCAGGACCGAGGACTAGGTGAGAGAGAGCCAAAGCACTCTCCAGGTGTTCTGGGGTAAAGGAAGCTGCCTCTTGCTTTCTGTCTTCTGTCCACCATGTAGGACATCTGATAGGATGAGCTTAAGACTGCTTCAGAGGACCATGGTCCTCGGAGCCCTGTGTCTCGCTAGAGAGCTGAGGGACTTGTGCTGAAGTCCCTTCAGTGGCCTGCACTCACTTTGTAGGCCAGGACAGTACTTAGCAGACACAGTCCCTCACAAGTGAATTTGTCTTTCAGCTCTGTGCAGTGTGTCTCGAAGACTTCAAGCCTCGAGATGAGCTGGGGATTTGTCCGTGTAAGCACGCCTTCCACAGAAAGTGAGTATTGCTGGGGACTTATGCCATGGGGCCTGAGGTACCCTGATCCCCTTCCTCTGTGCCTTTGGGGCAGTGCAGATGAGCTTGGCCGTTGGTCTGCAATGCAGAAAGCAGGAAGCACCCTCCTCTGCCCGACAGGGAGAAGCATGTTATGTGTACGTGCCTGTTAGGAAGGATGAGGTTGGTGTAACATGACCATCACAGCAGGGCTGTGGGCAGAGAGCCAGACCAACCCACACCTCTATGGAATCCAGGTTATTAATAGCTATTTAGCTGGAACTTTCCAGTGAGCTTCCATCTAAAATGTCTTAGTCAAAGCCATAGTTCTATCAAATAAATGAAGTCCAGATGTACATGGTTGTGTGGGATGGGCTCCTCCTTCTGCTGGTAGACATGTGAAGGGATTTGCCAGCATCCTGCCGTCTGAATGCACTTCGCATTTCTATTCAAAGAAGTCCTTTCTCCCACTCCCCACCTTCTTCACGGTACTCGCCCTTTGGGACATGGGCCAGGGCTGAGGGTGTGACATGCTCTGCTGGCTATGGCTTCTTAGCGTCACCTCTGGAAGATGGGGTTAGGATGCCTCCTGCACCTAACGGCGCCGCTCCTCAGGACCACACACGCCAGGCTGCTGAGCGCTTTGGCTTTCCACAGCAGCACGCTGGCTCTGGGTGGCAGATGCGCTCCGTGTACACCCAACAGCTGAGCAGTGGGCAAGGGCCGCCATGAGCATGGGGCTGATGCCTTCCTCCTGTGGTGTCTTACTCTGCAGGTGCCTTATTAAGTGGCTGGAGGTGCGGAAAGTGTGTCCGCTGTGCAACATGCCTGTTCTGCAGCTGGCCCAGCTGCACAGTAAGCAGGTCCGTGGACCCCCTCAGGGGCCCCTCCCTGGGGCAGAGAACATTGTATAGCTCACCACCAGGATCAGACTGTTACAGGAGACACCGTCTGCGTGGAGCCAGGAGAAACGCCAGTGGGCTCTGGGGTGGCTGCTCTACCTGAGGCACCAGCTGCCACTTCCTCTGCCTCATGAAGAACTCTTGGGTCAACCAAGCTGGAAAGCCACACGTCTGGTCTTGTGACAACCAAAGCACTGACACTACAACACTACCCCGTGCCAGAAGAGGAGTGGACGTGGCTGTGGGCTGGGTTCAGGAAGCTCCTGAGGGTATCTACCACCTTCATCACACTGTCTCCCAGACCCCTGGCCCACTGAACCTTTACCGAGCAGAAGGGATGGTAAACAAGTGTGAGGGAAGGGAGCTGAGGGCAGGTCTTGGGGACACACAGCTGAACTTCTATCGAGGCCATGCATGTCTTCGCAGCAGCACCCCCCAGCAGTCCCTGCGCCACACACCAGCAGTACCTCACCCAAAGTAGGCCCGCACACCCATGGTTGGTGGGGCAGTGCCAATGATGCTTTACACGTAGTTCCTTCACTAGGGCCATTTTGCAAGGACTGTGACTCAGTCCCTTCCCGTCAGGTTCGCAACACCTACTTTCAGTTCATGAGCTGAGAGCATTTGATGCTGAAAAGCCGTTTCCACCTGTCATTCCCAAGCCTCCACTCACTGTTGAGTCACCCTGCTCAATCCACCGTTCAGGAGCCTCAGTGGAAGGTGGGGGCCAGCACTGTCCCTGTGTGACCCAGCGGGAGCCAGAGTGCCGGTTCCAGGGAGCTGCTGCCCTTGGTCCCTGCCCTGGAAGCCCACTGAGAAGGGTGTAATCTTTCTGAAACAAGGCTGCGGGTACCGACAACCCCCCCCTCCATCCTTTACTCTGGTTTCCCCAAAAGCACGGGCCTTTTTCCTGTCCTGTCTTGCCCTTTTTCTGTACTTTCTGAAAAATACCTGTCACTGACTTAAAAAATATTTTTGAAAGCATCCGAAATCAGATCCCACCATAATTCTAAAATCCACTTGAAACTGTAAATACTTTCAGGAAGCTCCTGCCAGGCTGTTCACCATCTAGTGGTACCCAGTCAGTATTTGGACTTTTGATAACTAATTTAAGTGTCTTTATAGGAGAGATGCATGCTGCTTTTTGGCTCTTACTGCCCAATTTTTCTAGACGTGACTCAGAGTCCCTTAGGATTCATGAACTTTATGTAACTTAGCTGTGTAAAGTGGCAGTGGGTCAGCTAGGAAGTTCCTGTCCACAGCCCTGCTCTCTCCATCCTGCCCTGCTGCAAGAGCGCCTGCCTCAACCCCTGGTCAACTGCTTCCGGGCCCTGCTCCACCTCACAGGTGGGAAAGGGGACGCCTTGGTCTTGGGATGTGGGAGAGGGAGGGAGCTTTGCTTTGTCTCTCCAGCAGTTTTATATTTTTTTGGAATTCAACCTCTGCCATCTTGGAGAGGGAACTTGACCATGGTTCAGGTGGCTGAGGTCAGAGGAGGAGGAAAATCCCCATTGGCCTAGGAGCATGCTGGGCAGCCTGGAAAGTTACAGCTCCAGTTGGTCAGAGAGTTGGCGGTTTGCTCTGTGAGCTGTGCATGGTATGCTGGTTAGACCGCCTCCTAAGCAGGGCAGTGTGGAACCCTTTCATATGAAAGCCTTAGCCTGTTTGGCACCCATGAAAAGAACTCTTTGTATTCCCCTCCTTTCCCCGTCTCTGTGTTGTCTGTCTGTAGTACAATAGAGTTGAATGCTGCGAAACACTCCATTTACAGTGACGTTTTCAGTGACCGTTGTCAGAAACAGGCTTGTTTCAGGATGCGCCTCATTCAAAGCCAACATCCATGGCTTTCCGTGGATTGAATGGCCTCTGGATACACACCACCTCTTCATCCTGGGGCTCTGATAGGAAAAGTTTGTGTTTAGTCCTCAGAGGACATCTAGAGGTCAGTACTGCAAATGCCTTTAGCTGACAGCACTAGGTTTGTAGATTGCACTTTCACTAGTTTTCTGTTCACTAGTTTTCTGTCCGTTTACCAGAGTCCTGTAATCTGTAGGGAGAAAAAGATCCCGCGTCTCGCCCAGTCACAGGCTAACGGCAAGGTGGTGTGCCTGATGGGAAGCACTAGACCAGAGGAACAGCTGAGGCCAGCTGCTGGAGAAAGCCCAAGGATGTGGCACATCCCCCACCCCCAGCAAATGGCTGTGCTGCGCTACCAGCCCGTGTCACTCAGTGGGTCCCAGCACTGCTCAGGACGTTTCTGTGCATCTGCATTGATGCGCATGCAGCCAACCAGGTTTACAGCCTTTAATTCTGAATAAAGTCAGAATTAAAGGTTTTTGTGTGAATAAGTTTGCACCTTCATCAGGATGTTCTCTAAAGGAGTTAGGGATCCCATAGACTCCCGGCTTAGACCTGATGGTGGGCCACCCTTTCTGCATCTGTGGATGTGTACCTAATGAGGACCTATTTCTGCATAGATACACCAGTCTGCTTGGGCCACTAGTTGCACTTTCTCTTAAGGGGGTTAGAGGCTCAAAGATGGGATAGCACTAACATGCTCTGTTAGTGGACCCTCATTCAACCCCACCTGAAATCCACCCCCATCTCCAGTGCCAAAGCACTTCTTGGTTGACTTTAAAAACCGGAAACAAAACCAACCTGATCCCTAGCAGGATAGGCAGAAGACCCTAATTCTCATTAGTTGCTATTCGTCACCAGTGTGATTTGGTTAGGTCTGTCCCTGGCAGAGGCCCAATTGGGGAGAAATATGACAGAAAAGACCAGAAGGGTACAATGTGGCCCCTTTAGAAAATCTGGGTTGAAGGATGCAAAGGAGGGTGGTGTGTACCATCACTGCCACTTTCCCTTTTCTGGACAAATCTTGACAAATGATCTTTTTCCCCGGTGCCCACTCCAACAGATCCATCTAGTGACTTGGGGCCTGGTTCAACCCATGGCCAACTCTCTGGGCCATCAACCCAGGCCAACTCTCTGGGCCAGTCTGGGTAGCTGCCACCTGATTTTCTCTATCTAGTATGCTCCTGACGGGTACAAAGAGACCTCCCCCACTCTACACATGGAGGATTCGTGCATCTCTACCCCCCAGCAAGCACAGGGTCTCTTCTATTTCGTGTATCCTTTGGTCACTCATATGTACAAACACTACGATCAGGGTTTGTCTTTTACCCACTGTGAACCAAGTAGAGGCAAGGGACTATTCGTGTGAACATGAGAACCATCCCCAATGTCTGAAAATCTAAAAAGTGAACTGAGGGATGTTTGGGTCAAGGTGTATATATGCTTGCTTGCAACACACTGAACCAAACATCGCAGCCCCTCCATCCATCTCTTACACTGGCCTAGCACAAGCAATTTTCAGTGAAAAGGCACCGAAGAGGCAGCCACTCTCCTAGAGCTCAGCCGCCTTTGAAGGTCCCTGAACAAGCTGCAGGGCCTCCCCACCTTGCCCAGGATTCGCTGAGCCACCAGCCATGCTGTTGGGTTGCAATGTGGTCTCTTGAGTTGAGGTCAGAGTTCAAGCAACTGAGAGCTGAAGTATCCTTGTTCCATGTTTCAGCTACTAAATCTCCACACTGGGAGGCCTCCAATCTGTCGTTTGTGGGTTTGCCTCTCCCCTTATTCTACGTACATAAACTTTCAAAATAAGCTTCTTATAATCTCCCTTGGCCCAGCATTTCCATTTGACATTGTCCCACCAGTACTTAGGACCCCTGGGGTACAGTCCTTAACAAGTTCAACTACTAACCAAAGGAGCCGTTTGAACCCAGCTTCTCAGATAACATTTAGGAATCCACTGGGGCAGGTCAACAAAGTCCAATAGGATAGTGGAGTTGGAATCAACTAGACAGCAGTTAAGGGGCTTATTTCTGCCCCTGCAGATGAGTAAGTTTAAGCTGCTTCTCTCAAGTAGCCCATGACAGAAAGGGTCCTGGACTCCTGGCTGCCCGGTGCCTCATACAAGCCAAGCGGGTTTTAAGAGGTCCACCCACCTCCAATACTTTGACCACCTGATCAGAAGTACTCCTTGGTGTCCCCACCCTAGAAGCTTGAAAGTTGTGCACACCCTGTCACCTTCAGACTCTGGCCTTACTTTGTCTTGCTTTCACTGTCAGGAGTATGAATAAAGGAGATTGGTACATGCTGGTGGGCTTTGCAGATGACTAGGAAGCAGTGTTTATTATGTAAGAGTTCAGGTTCCCATATGATAGGGGCTGAGTGGAAGGGACTACCAGTAAGTGAAAGGCTTAATCAGTAAACATTTTCCAATTCATCCTTGGAGCCCAGAATCATTGCCTGATGCAGTTTTTATTCCACTCCTGGATCAAGTACCAACACTCATGACTTACCATACCAATCCAGTCCCAACGTTTGTGGCACTTTTAACAGCTAGGTTCCAGGGGCGTGAACCTAGCCCGTGGCACAGGAGGGTGGCTTTGATAACCCTCTTGGTCCTCAGCATCAACCCAGCCAACCTTCATTTTAAGCAGCTGTACACCACTCACCTGATCCTTCTCCCAAGCCTGGCTAGGCCAGGGCTACAGATGTAGCCAGTGTTAAAAGTTCCTCCTGGCGACAGTCTTCCAAGAAAATGCTGGACTCTCATCCTGGGGTCACTTAACACATTATTGCCAAGGGGTTCACTTTAGTCTTGTAGTTTCCCCTCTGGGAGTCACTAGAAATTCTATCACCCTTTCAAAAAAGGTTTATGAAATACCCTCAGATTTCATAGACGTGTTTATACACTAAGAATTCTGCAGCAGAATATTTTTAAACGTTTGCCATTTTGTGAGTTATATTTTTGTATATTTAATTGCTATTTTTAAATTCTAATGCATTTTTTCTAATCATTCTTGTTAAAATACCAACATGCATGTAATTGATGTAAACAAATGTAAATAGAGATTTTGAAAATACTTTTATGTTGAGCACATGCCCTAGTCACTCAGCCTTGATGCCTACAAAACCGAGGGAGTAGGTCTAACCCAACAACTGGGGGTTAGTCACAGGTGAGCGTGATGGAGAAACTTCTGGACTGCCCCTGGGTGTCAGGAGCTTGGCTTGGGCTGTGAGCAGCCAAGAGTGACAGGATGGGGGAGGGGAGGGTGCGGCAACCACACATCCTGAGAATTCCCCACCTCAATCCTCCAGCCATGAATTCTAAGACCAGGAGTTCTTATCTGCTTAAGAAATAACCCATCAGCCCCAAATTCTCCATAGGCTATTGCTGTTCTGACCACCACCCATCCCTTAGACCTCTATAGTTTTGCTTCAGGGTAACTTCCCATTCCCTGCTGACCTGCAGAAACCCACCCACCCAGATTCCTGTTCCTGAACCACACAAAGCCCCCTCTGAGACCACTCTTCATTTTTGTTCACTTCTGGCCATCTGCCCCTACCTTTCTCACCTGGATAAAGACCACGGGAGCCTCAGTGGGCTCAATGCCTCTAGTGAGGGCAGTGTGGGGACATGACTTCAGTGGACAAGACTGGAAGACACAGTGGCTTAGACCTGGTAGTAGGATGCCTGGGAATTCCACTGACATCCATCTCAAGTTGGAAGGGGTGGGAGAAGACTGCCAAGCAGTGGCTTCTGTGTGCGCTTGGGCACGTCAGATGACCTTGAAAGAGCACGTAGTGAGATGAGAAGACAGGGCTGCAGGCGGCTGGGACTGAGCCGGGCAGCGGCTGTTTGTCTAGGAACTGGTGCTCCTGCTGTGCTTAACTGAGGAGGCTGAGCTCATCAAATGACCATTAAGTTTACTACCAGTGGATTCCCTAGGGACTGCCCTATCCTAGAGTAAGAGTGAGCTGGGCATAAAGTGGGACGTGAAGAAACAGAGATAGCTATTCAAGAGAAGGAAGTGATGGGTCAGTGGAGATGGAAGGTAACATCAACATGGAAGGTAACAACCTGAAGAGTTGGTTCTGGTGTTTGAAGTCAGACAATGTTTGTGGTTTAAGTCCAGTTCAGCCAGTTTCTATCAGCGTGATATGGGGCAAATTTGACAGCCCTTCCTGTTGGATTGTTACAAAGGTGGACTGAGTTGCTCTATATCAAGCACCAGTACATCCTGTAAGTACAGAGGTGACGGGCAGGAGCTTCAGCAGAGGCTGCCCTCCCTGACCTGGAAAGGGGGTGGGGGTGGGGGACGCAGAGGGACAGACCTGGGTGAGTACACTCATATCTTTTACTTATTCTGGAAAGCAGGGTTGTCATCTGCTGGTGGGGGGTGGAGGGGTCCATCTGTTCATCCTGGGGCACGAGGGACTGGAGCTAATAATGGGGAGCCGTGGGGCCACCAGGAGGAGCTCAGCTGGAACAGTCAAGGAGGAGGCAGCACTGAGAGGACAGGGCAGATCAAGCGAGGGCCTGGGGAGCTGAAAGGGGTGCAGCAGCTGAAAGAAGACATCGCTGAAGCCCTAGGACCGCTCCAATGCCCAACCCCATAGCCCAGTTCCACTGAGGCCCCACCTCAGCAACACACCCAACCCACTGACATGTCAAGAAAGAGCCCCCATCCCACCCCACTCCAGGAGGGAACCTTGCCCATTTGGCTTTCACCCTCACACCTCAGGCAGCAGGTCTGTACCTCTGCAGCACCCCTATAGCCACTGTGTGAGCTTAGTACAAGTGAAAACCAAGGACCCAGACAGAGAGCCAGCTGACCTCTGGGTCCCTGTCAACCTGAGAGGCCAGCATGCTCCCCCACGCCTAACCCCACAGGCTACAAAACAGAGCCTAAAGGCCAGTTTACCCAGGCCCTTACCTGCCTACAATATTGATGCAGGCACCAACTAACATATAAGATACTTTAGTTACATTTTCTCCAAGAAGGGTTTTAAATGATTTTACACAGCATCAGTAAAGCTTAAAGTAAAGCCCTACACCCAGACTCCATCCTGAAGCCTCGGGTCTTCTCTAGCGTTGCTCAGCATGGTCAGGTGCCACACGCAGCCCATCACACCAACCTGCTAGGTAGTTTCAGCAAGAGCCGGAGGCCCTGGACAGTGAGGGAGTGCACAGGAAAGCCCAGGTTGGGCTCCCTGAACAGCCAACCTGCTCACCAGTGGTTCAATCTCCAAACAAGATAGCTTAAGTCCACGTGTCTAGCCTCTCCACAGTTCCCTGTACAGACAGCCCTTCTTGTCTTTAGTCACATGTCCCAGAATATTTTTCCTACTGGTGGTTTTCATGCATGAGGCGGGCAGCCCTGCCCTGTCCCCTGCCCAGTTCTGCCCTGGGAAGCCTGGTCTTTGCAAACAGGCCTTTCCCAGGACAACCTGGAACCAACTGTCCTTCCAAAAGTTGCTTCATTGTATAAAGCTTCAGGTAGACAATTACCCTGGTCAATGAACTTAGCAGAAATTTGGAATGAAACACTTTTTTCAATACTTTGACACAAGTACTGACCTCCAAGGTCAGCATGACACAACTGTAATTAGATTAAAACACCTGGAAGCCTGTTGTGCTTGTAGCCAGTTCAAACAGAGGGATCCCCCACCACCCCTACCCCCACCCCCACAGGCAGCTGAAGGAACCCAGACCAGCTCTGGCCTGGTGTCTCCAGTGCATTCTGCTGAGATGTGGAAACCACCCAGCACGTCTGGGGGGATATTCTTTAGAAAGACCCAAGTCAGCCAGTCCTCACTGCAATGGACATGGATCATCATCTGTCCTTTCTTTTTTTTAATACATCCTTAGTGGTGACTAGTTTAGACTGAATTATCTTGATGACTTAGAAAAATACACTTGTCCTTCTTGATCTGATTCAGTTAGTGTACAGTCATAAAAATGAATGTCTCTTAGAAAACTTAAGTCCACAGATCCCAGTGTGGAAGGTTCCAGATGGCTCTCTCCAGGTAATGATCAGGGGATCTTCAACAGCTCAAGGAGTGCTCCAACTGCTCCAAAGTAACCCTGAGGAAAAAAATAGACACACACCAAAAATAAGAGCCACTTTCTGTAGACGTAAGTGAACTATATGATTAGTAGTGTGAAAGCTAACATTGTACGTGATTCCTAGAAGCTGGCAAGGAAACCGGGAGCACCCAGGCTGGGCTAGGGACTTGGATGCACAACACACTGAGCAAGGCAAACTAGAGTCTGGAGGCCGCCCCGCTACCTCTGGGAAGAGCTGCTGCCTGGACTGTGTCCTGGAGAATGAGGACATGGGACCCAACAGAGACCTGGAACATTTCCAGATTACTATAGAATCAAAGTGAGATTGCTCCTGAAGCCCAGCGAAGCAAGAAGCCAGCAGGGACAGGTTGCAGAGGGTGAAGGGCCTGGAGGTGTAGTTGATTCAAGACTCACTTCAAGAGGGAGATGACAATGAGTAGGGGGTTTAGAGAGTGTCACCACCAGAGAACAGAGACACTGGAGCAAGAGATGCAAAGATGGAGACTTTTTCCCACACAGGATGTAGAAGGTTTAGGGTACCCAAGAGTCAGCTGTACCTAATGGGAACTGGCTGTCTGACTCTAGAGCAGGTGTGAGGGTCAGGACAGGTAGTTGAGGGGGGGATAATGTGTTGGGACAGAGGACGCACAGAACAAATGAACAAATAAGTCTGAGGAACCACAGGAGCTACTCAAGCGTGAGACAGAGAAGCAGCAGCTGGAGAAGAAATGACACACCAAGTAACTAGAAGTTACTTCATTGAGGTCAACACAACCAAGCAAGCGCAAGCACACCTCCACCAAAAGGCCAGCCAGCAGGCAAGGAAAGGTGAGAATGCCAGCAGGAATCAGAGAAGAATTCCAAAGTATGAGATCAGGTAGAAGAGGACTGAGAATGGACTGAGGAAGACCGGGAGAGACTTCTTGTTGGTCTCTCCAATATAAGTAACTCAGATATAGTTCCTCTTTCCAGAAAAGCTTACCAATAAACATGATGCCAAACACTAGAGGCGAAAAGCTCCCCTGAATGCCACTATTTTGTGGCCACTTTGTTTTGTGACAAAAGACTAGAAACTACAAGTGTGAGTAACACAACTGAGCAAGACACAGCAAAGCTCGGCCTGCCCAATCATAGATAGAGCATACAGGTCAAGGCTGTTCATTTTACATTTTGTTGTATACATTTTATCTTTTCAAACAAAATAAGCAAAAAAGTTAACCATTATACTGAATTCCACTGAAGACTTAGAACTTACTGAAGTAAAAGATAAAGACAGGTTGTTATAAGCTCTAAAGTGCTGAGATGGAAGAGAGGTTTTGAGAAGATGGTAGAGAAAAGCCTGAGAAAAACCTATACATAAAGTTTTCACAACAACGGTGAAGCGCCTTTAGTGTGACGGCAGGAAAAAATACCAAGACTCAGAGAGCCTAAAAGACTCCAAGTGGGAAAGTGTAAACACAGAATTTCATAAAGGGTTAATAGCTGTCAGGAAGTTACCGGTTAAAAGAAAGGGAGTAAGCCTAAGAAATTAATCTGTAAATTTAATTTCCACTAAGAAATGGCTTGACTAGCGGTAGAAATTAAGCAAGACAGTTACATTAAATTACTAACAATTATATTCAAAATAAGATCAAATAGGGTTTCTTTTTCATTCTATAAAAAGCACAACAATAGGGCAAAGATTGCCCCAAAAAAGGCAAGGTGTACTATATCACGTGTTTGTACCCTGCAAACTGGCAACAGCTATGTGAAAGAATGCTTCTGGGACAGTAGGTTAATGCTAACGAGGGAACCATTTCAGAGGAGGAGGGGAGAATGGTTGCACAACTTGAAGAGTGTCATCAACGTCACTGATGGATACATGAGAACACTGTTGAAGTGGTGTGTTATGTTCTGCTATGTAGTTTCTGAACCTTTTTACTTACCAAAAAAAGACGCTGCTGCTAAAGAAGCCTAATTTAGTACTGAATAGGGACTTCAGAAAATGCACGGCAAAACAGAATTGAAAATATAATGGAATTTTCCCTTCAACTTTGAGAAAACCCCTCACATATGCAGCACATGCAATTCTGAAAAAGATTCGTGACAATACTATCTAAAATCTATCTAATACTATCTAAAATCCTCCAATATGTGAACTGCCCAGCAGTCGGGGAACGCAAGGGGACATGAGAGAGAATGCTTGGGCCCTGCTCTAAAAAAGAAAATCAAGTCGAGCAATTCAATGACTTTTTTCCATGTATTATTTCTCACCAGTCTTCATGCTCAGTCCCCATGTAGTGTGGTTCTAATTCCTGGAACTATTTTTTCACTTACTTATTTTAAAATACACAACTAAAATAACTGGCATGTGAACTCAATCAATACAGGTGAAGCAAAATCAAAAACCAAAGAGTTAAGTGTTAATGCAGAAAATATACAAAGGTTAGAAATGAACAATGGCATCAAAAATATATAGGTAAATCTAACAGTTTTCCCCTTCAAAATTGGTTAAGACCACATTAAAAGATCTTGGACGGAGTAGGAGAAAAATATCAAACAAAATTATAAAATGGACAAGGCTCACCAATCTAAATAACAGTGAGCCTAACAGGCGTGAGGAGCATCCCCCTCCGAACAATCAACCATCTGAGAGCAAAAGGGCAGCATCTGCCCTACAGCCCAGTTCAGGGGGCAAGAAGGGGCCAGACAGGCAGATGGAAATAGGGAACCCAGGGAGGAAGTGGTATGGGTGCCGTCACACTGAGGGGGTTGTCACGAAACAACAGGCTGAAAGTTGTTGAATGGGAAACTGTAAACTCACCCAAACCACAATTAAACGTTTAAAACAAAAAGTTATGCCCCATCTTGTACAATTAGAAAGATAAAACTGAGGTACAACCGCCCACGTCATCTCTGCTGCATTAGAACATGAGCTGCATGCCCTTCGTGTACGTATTCTATTACAAGAAATAGGCAGCTTACCTCGTGTTCTGAAAAAAGGGCTTTCAACTGCCCCTTGGACCAGTAATCCAAAGCATATGCCAAAAGTCGCATGGCGATCGTATTAATCCTCAAGAAATTTCCAACAAATACCACCTGGTTAATGTTCTGGGCACATCAAAAAAAGGCAGTTAGTTTTCACCTGAGTTCTGCTCTCATAAAAGCTCCCCTCAAACAGAATCTCATGTGCATTACACATCCCCAGATAACTCTGGCCTCATTTGAAAGCATGCCAGATAATGTCACAGGAGAAAACAGAGCAGGAAAAATATCTATTAAATATGGCAGATAACAACTACAGTTTTATACTGCTTAGAAAAACTGGGAAACCCCTATTCAAAAGGGGTTAAGTGGCATAAGTAGGCAAATTGTGTAAGAAGCATTATCAGTACAAAAGGCACATCAACCTCATTAGTGATCAAAGAAAGCCAACTTTTAAGGCAGATTCTATACTCAACCTTCATAAAAAGAGATCCATTCATCCCCTGCTATCGATGATCTAAGACCAGGGCAGCCCTTCAGCAAAGCATCCAGGCACTACATAAGCATGGTCAGACAAAACGCCCACCAAAAAAAATAGCTTCGTGAAAACTGATTACTGCAGAGTTATCAATGGGCAAGCAAATGCCTAGTACTCGGTGAAATGACTTGATATAAAAAGAACCCCATCAAGAAATACAGCCACGAAGTTTGTTAAACTACGTAAAAATATTAACTGGTAGGCAAACCAACAAAAATACCTTAAAATACACAGGAAACCTGCAATACAGGTAAAAGTAGTACTAGGATACCTGAATGAAAACATGTTTCTGTCTGATGGTGACACAATTCTTTTCAATTGAAAACGCAACACTTTCATTATAATTAGGGCTTTGGGGTTTTTGTTTTTTCTTTCTTAAAGCCACAAGCCTATGTTATCTATTTAATTAAGAATTTATAAAGAGAGTAAGCCATAAAACTGCACCAACTGGTCCTCCTTCCCCACGGGCAGCCCATTCTTAGTTCTTTCATAGCCCTGTACAATGCTGCTTGACCTGAATGCTACAAGGCAGCACTGTAAAGAAGCTGAAAGCACGAAGAAGCAGCTTTGCATAGCTGGAGGTGGGAGCCAGGATGGGCACTCCTCTGCCCGCTCGTTCTTCTCCCAGCTTCAAGGACCCTGGGGATTCCTTCCCAGAGACCCTAGAGTTCAATGATAGCCACAGTGTAGTTACCCAACAGCACCATCCAACAGCTCCCCACCCCCACCCCATCATCACGGATCCTGGCTACCTTTCTCTACTTTTTCTGCAAAAGTATAGAATTTACTTCTAGTTAAGTTGCAGGCTCATCTTCGGTGAGGAAGGGGGGTGAAAGCCATTAAGGTTAACTTTGCACTGATACAAGCTACCTCACACTACTAGGCACTACTCTAAGCAGGGACCCACAATTCAGTTCCACATTCTCCTCAGAGCAGTGGGAGAAAGCCTGGCCCCCTTACTTCATTAAGGGCACACATTCTTGCTATGGAGCCAATGTTGTTGGTGATGGTGATCAGAGTTGCTCTGGCGAGGTCCTCCTTACTGACGGCCTCCCGCTTCTCCTTGCTCATCATGTTTCCAAAGCTGTGGTGAAAACAAGAGTTCTCACTGCTAACGCAGAAGCAACGGAGCCCTGCAGCTCTTGCTTTACTAAGACAAAACTGACTTCTAGGCAACACTGTTCACATTTGCAAACCTTTTAGGACAACACAACAGAGCATCTGCTCAGAGAACTGCAGCATCAAATGGCGCCCTCTAGTGTTCTGAATAAGCAGGTGGCTTCCCCATTCCCTTGGTTGCTATTAAAGCCTGGCTTTGGGTAGCAGACTCTCCCATCTCAGAAGGGATCTCACCACTGCTCCTTGAATTCATCCCCATCTACTGCCCAGTTGTTCCACGCCGGGGGTGACATGCACAGCTGGTAAATCCACAGGTGAGTCGCAGAGGGAGCTACTTGCTACTTAAAGAGTTTCAGAATTCCACAGAAGATAAAATATTTCAAGGTACAAAGGGGTTTCAAAACATTCATGGGAAAATGCCACTCATAGTTTTCATGTACTTTTTCACATTGTGCCCCCATGTTTACCAGCAGAATTGATTAAACCAAGAAAGAAACTCATGTTCAATCAATCAAAATAAATGATTACAAATAAAAGGCACAAAATAAAGATTAAACAGCATTTAGTTTCTGTTATGTGCCATCAAATCAATTCCAACTCAAGTGACCCTAGCCCTTGGGTTTCCACGGCTATACTCTTCATGGGAGCAGACTGCTACAGCTTTCTCCTCCCAAGTAGCTAAGGGGCTGAACAGCGGCTGGTCTTTTGAGTTAGCAGTTGAACACTAACCACGAAACCACTAGGGCTACTTCTGTTAGTCATTAAGAAAGCGCAACTCAAAAATCAACCTGTTTTATCACTTCATGCCCATTAAGAGCTTTAAAACCAAGAAGACCAACAATAACAAGTATTGACAGGGAAGTATAGAAATGAAAAAAGGCACCAGGACCCCAGTTTCGCCTTGCAGACCTGGTTAGACCAGATGATGCACAGCGGTGCGGATGGGAGTTGGAAGCACAGGGAATCTAGGACGGAGGAGCCTCTCGGGACCGGGGGCGACGGTGGCGATACCAGGAGGGAAGGGGGAGGTAGCAAGGGGGAATGGATCACAGGGAGCCGCGTATGGCCTCCTCTCTGGGGGACGGGCACAGCGGGGTGGGTGAGGGGAGGCGCCGGACAGTGTAATGTAAGATACAAAAATAATTTATAAATTATTAAGGGTGCATGGGGGAAAGGGGAGGAGGAAGGGAAGGGGGGGGGGGGGGAAAATGAGCGGATTCCGGGAACCCAAGAGGCAAGAGAATTTTGGGAATGATGAGGGCAACAAATGTATAGATCTGCTTTACACAATTGATCTATGTATTGTGATGAATTGTATGAGCCCCAATAAATTGATTAATTAAAAAAAAATTAAAAAAAAAAAAAAGAAATGAAAAAAGGCATTGAAGAGGAGGAATAAAAATGGTACGGCCACTTTGGAAAACAAAATGGCAGTCTCTCAAATAGTGAAGCAGTCACCATGAAAACAGTCCCTCAAATAGAGGGAAGAACAGCAAACCAGTGCATTCTGACTCCCAGCCACTGTAGGGTGGAGTAAAACTGCTCCAGAGGTTAGCACAGCAGTACATTTTATGGAAGCAGGCAGCCTCATTTTCTCCCACAGAGTGGCGACCAGTAGGCTGGAACCACTGACCTTATAAATAGAAACCCAAAGCGTATCCCACAACTCCACCAGCGCATGAGGCAAAGCTACTGAAGTGTGGGTGTGGGTGGGAAGCACTACTGAACAGTTTTAACTCGCAGCCTTCAGACCAACTTGAGTTACCGTATCACCTAGTAAGTAATTCCAATCCTAGACATATATTAAGGAAAAACAAAAACAAAGAGCTGTACATGAAAACTCATAATATTCATAACAAGTAGGAAAAAGTAGTAAACATCCATATTGTCTACCAACTGACAAACTGGTAAATGTGGTACATCCATCCAACACAAGATTTTTCCCTAATTAAAAGGAATAAAGTACCATGTTTCATGCTACAGACATGAATGAATTTTGAAAAGATGACACTAAGTAGGTACAGAAAGAACTCATTGATATTAATGTTTGTCAGGGAGTAAGGGTAGCTAACGGGTACAGAGCTTCTTTCTGGAATAATGAAAATGCTCTGAAACTGGACTATGTTGATGGTTACACGATGTGAAAACTACACAAATAGTCACCATAGAGTCAATTCCAATTCTACGTGTTTGGGAGTAGAAAACTGTCCCTCCTGGGTTTTCAAAATGGCTGTTTTTTCAGACACAGATCACCAGGCTTTTTTTTCTGAGGGAACCTGAGATAGTTTATTGTGCCAGCCTGGCCGATAAATACAAGTAGGATTAACTGAAGGGTGGAGAGATAATGGCTCGGTGAACCTCGCCTTTCTTGTCTCTTACTCTTTAATCATCGGACCAATGTGCTTGCTTGTTCTGTGCCTTGCTTGTTCTGTGCCTCAACTTATAGGCTACACTATCTGTGGGATGCCTAGCCTGTGGACTGTGTCGTTGTAAGTTGAGGTCCCTTTAAGACATCTCTGGAGCTGGGGACTGGCAGTTGGGACTGGTGGTTAGTTGACAGTTGGTGATCTGCCTTGTGATTGGCTGCTGTGTTGAGATAGCCTCACTCTATAAATAGAGGGAGATCTGGCAGCAGACGAGACTTGAAGGACTGCTAGTCTCACACAACTCTCTCTCACGGGAGTGAATTGCACTGAGCCCTTTGTAGTGCTTTATAATTTAACTATTCATTTCCTGTATTATATATATTTATCTGTATATGATTTAACAGTCCATTTCTTGTTATATATCTAATTATCTTTATAAATAAATATAATTATCAGCAATTTGGTTTTATCTCTCTAGAGAGCCCTGTCTAACACAGCACCCTAACAAACTCACTGCCATTGAGTCGATGCCAACTCACAGTGACCCTATAGAACAGAGTAGAATTGCCGCTGTTGAGTTTCCGGGGGTTAACAACTGCTCATGGGAGTAGAAAGCCCTGTCTTTCTCCCTCAGAGCCCCTGGTGGTTTCAAACTGCAGACCTTAAGTATTGGTGTAATGTAACCAATACACCACCCGGACTTCTCTCCCAGGAACTCTATGACGATACTGTTAGGTGCCATGAAGTCGATTCTGATTCATAGCTACTCTAGGCACAACAAAATGAAGTCTCGTCCGGTCCTGCGGCATCCTCACAATCATGTTCGAACCCACTGTTGCAGCCACTGTGTCAGTCATCTGCTGCATGATGACCTTCCTCTTTCTCATTGACCCTCCACTTTACCAAGCATGATGGGTCCTTTGCCAGGAACTGGTCACTCCTGATAATGTCCAAAGTACATGAAACTACGTTTTACCATCCTTGCTTCTAAAGAGCTGTACTTCTTTCAAGACAGATTTGCTTGTTTTGGCAGACCATGGTACTTTCAATATTCTTCACCTGCACCATAATTCAAACCCATCAATTTTTCTGCTCTCTTCCTTATTCAATGTTCAACTTTTACACACGAGACTGAAAATATGTATCATGGTTTGGGTTAGGCACATCTTAGTCCTCTCAAAGCAGCATCCTTGCTCTTTAGACATTAAAAGAGGTCTTGTGCAGCTGATTTGCCCAACACAATGTGCCATTTGATTTCTTGACTGGATCCACAACTAGTACTCATAGTAACAGCAATCAAGATGAAACCCTTGATAATTTTTATCTTTTCTATTTATCATGTTGTCGTCTATTGGTCCAATTGTGAGGATTTTAGTCTTCCTTACACTGAGTTGTAATCCACACTAGAGGCTGCAGTCCTTGATCTTCATCAGCAAGCGCTTCAAGTCCTCCTCACTTTTATCAAGCAAAGTTGCCATCTATCTATCTCAATCTTCTTCATAAATATAGTGAAAAACACTAAATTATACACTTTAAGTACCTTTACAGTATGTGAGCATCTCAATAAAGCAGCTTAAAATTAAAAGCATACATTCCTATCAATTCTACAACACACACTCACTCCCTTACCTTGAAGCCACAGCCCAGCCTGGTAGTCCAAATCTCTCATAGTCCCCTCCATAAATGTCTCGCACCAGTTTATCCACCTTGGTGCTATCTCCACGAGATGCCATTTCAAGAGCTTCTTCAAAAGTGGTACAACCAGTAAGAAGACAGCAGAGACCAAAGAAGGTTCCTCCTCCAAGACTGTGATTAAAATAAAAGGCAGTATTATAACCTTTTTAAAAGCCAATCACAGAAAATGTGCTTCAAAAGGATGTGGGGGGGGCGGGGATTGGGCAAGATATTGGGAGGTCTGAAAAGTTGTTTGTGTTGTTGAATGCAAAATCAAAGCTCTGATATGTAAATCTCCACCTAGTTCACAATGAAACACTTAAAAAATAAAAGAGTAAAATAAGAAGGGAATACTTATGAACCCACACCCTATGTATCAACCCAGTATTGCCCCAACCAAATCATATAGTTGTTACCAGTAGGAAGTCTGTAGAAAGATAACAGAGTGCATCAAAAACAAATAAATATGAGAGCCAATAAGCAAAGTGGCAAAACGCAGGGCTGGACTCCTTTGTCCCCTTGTGCTGTGTAGGTATCTGCCGAGTTTGCTGGTATAGATAGATCAGCCGTTCCACTGGGCTCATGCTGTCACCTACTCCCTTCCTCCTCCTCCCTGCTCATGCCCCAGTCACTCTCCTCACCCAAGGACCTTCTCTGTTCATCACCCCAACATACCCCTCAATTACTGTTTTCTCTCCCCAGAAATTACTCCTCTCATTTTATAACCTGTTTTGGGTGTTTATCCCATTTCCCAGCACGATTTTCCTCAATTGACCTCAGAGTCCTGAACCAAAGCAGATTCCTTCCCTCCTTCTGCTTGACCCTGACCCCCACCCCACCCCACAGACTACCCTTCCTTTTTTTGATATTTATCATAATGATCATTTCTAGATCTTACTTGATCTCTTGGTCATGTGTGTTTACACATATAAAATTCATACACATTTCAAAGTTGGGACTTTGCCTTGACTTTTCCTCATAGATACTACCTAGTAGCTATAGTTATCTTCTATTCACCTTACCACAAACTCCCAGCAAGAACTACACACTTTTATAAAGCACAATGAGTTTACTAAGTGAGATATTTCATGAAACAATTCACCTCAACTCACTGCTATGGAGTTAATGCTGACTCATAGTACCTACAGCACAGGGGAGAACTGCCCCACTTCCCCAGACTGCCTCTTTATGGGAGTAGAAAGCCCCTCCTTTCTCCCATGAAACAACTACAATAATGAAACATGAGCAGTAGAGGTTAACGTAGATCATAAGAATTGTCAAAGAGAGATGCTGTTTGCATAATCCTGGGGGGTGGGGGGGTGGGGGATTGAACCTTCCACATGCATTTAACAGGCCTTGAGCATATAAGAAGTCATATGCAATATCTGAACACTCAGTTTTAACCTATTATGACAAGAAGAACAAACACTGGCATTCTTATAAAAGACTTACCTGGTACCTGTAACCCGCTTATAATTATCTTTGGAATACACTGCTAGGATGCTAACCCCAGAGCCAATGTTCACCAGAAGCAGAGGGTATGGATTTTTCAAATCAAATGGTAACTTCTGACATTTCTCAGAATCAGCAGGATTTTCAAAGTAATAGCACTGTGATCGTCCATTGAATCCAACTGAGTCAATATATAAAATTCCTTTTATTAAGCAATCTAGTTCATCAAGTTTGTGAAGCTGAAGATCACCTATCTGTAAGGAAATAAGGATATATTCAGACTTTTTAACAAATGGAAAATTCCATTAACAAAACATCCCCCTCTACAATCAACTGACCCTGAAAGCACTTCTGGGTATATATTATTTGTGCATATTTTATAGAACAGATTTGGGGACAAAAGCCATAGGACAGGCTTCTAAGACAGACTTCTAGTCCCACAGACTGCTAAAGTCTCATCCCCATCAGAAAGCAACTTCAAAAAATCCAAGTGCCAGTGGCCACATGGTAACCCAGAGTGCGAGTCACAAGGACTCTGGTTGCATTCCAAAAGCCCATCTTCCAGGAGCTGTATCAAAATAGGCCGCATACATTAGCACTTAAGAACTTGAAGTCAAAGGAAAAGTGCCCAATTAGAAGATAGAATCTACTTGCTATCTAAAACGGATTAGTGTCTCTTGGGGAAAGATATTTTAGCAGTATCAAAATTTAAGCCATTTTTATCAATAGAATTCTATTTAAGTTAAATAAAAATGATTAAAATAGTGTAGAAATAAAAGGATCCTCACTCTTGCAAAAATTGCCATAAAAAATGTTCAGTTGTGGGGTGATTGGAACTCTTATTTACACTACTGGTTGTATTAAGTAACAACCAATATGAAAAATGGTGTGGTGCTTCTTTATAAAGCTATAAACAAAAATCTTATGATTCAACAATCCCACCCCCCAGGTACATATCCAAGAGATATATGAAGCAGTGACATAAACAGACATGCATATCTATGTTCATCACAGACCACTTACATTTGCAACCCAGTGGACACAACCTAAGTGCCCATCAACAACTAAATAAACAAATCGTAGTACATCCATATAATGGAAGATTCCACAAGTATCTGGACTAATGATTGGTCCAGAAAATACAATCTTACAATGTGGATGGATCCGGAGGACATTATGCTAAGTGAAATAATCAACCACAAAAGGACAAATACAAGGGAGCTTCCAAAATTTCATGGAATAATTGAATTCAAAGATAATAAAATTGGTTCTTGTTTTAGTTTTTTTTCCATTTTTTGGAAACCCTTTCATACTGTATGATACCATTTTATTTTAAAAGTTATGAACAGGAAGGAGTACATGGAGAAAACATTTTTGATGCTTACCAGGGATGGGAAGGGGAGGCAGGGCAAATCACTTACTAGACAGCAGACACATTCTAGCGAAGGGAGGGAAGTCAGCACATGACCATGGTACACGAAGACAACGAGGGGTGCGGAAGAACAAAGGACACTATAGTCAGTGCTGTAATATACACAATTCTGCAATAATGGAAATGACCCAAAATGGTTGAGTGGTTACATCAGTAGATTAAGTATGGTCTACAGGTGTGGGAGAGCATCCAATAAGTACATGGTACATGTAGGTACCGTTGTGGGCGTGTGTGCGTGTGTGTATTTATTTGTACGGCCCATGTGCAAAATTCATATATACTAGGAGCTTCAAAAAGTATGTGGGGAAAACACCATTATTTACTTCCATTGTTTTCTTGAAATCCCTTCACATAATAAAGCACACAAGGGTACCATTATAGAAACCTCTTAGTCATGTGCAAACACCTGTGTGACTGAGTCCCTGGGCTGGAAAGGCTAAAGGAACACTAGTCTTACTAGCCTGCACAGTTCGTAAAGAGAATATACCTACATTCTCCTTAGTGGATAACGTCAGGGGTCTTAAAAGCTTGCCAGCTGCCGCTCCTGACAGAAACAATGAAGAATGCAGAAAGCCAAGACTCCAGGATGTAATTAGTCCAAAATACTAATGACCCACAGGAAGCAGTCTCCTCAAACCTGAAACTAAAGCCAGATGGTGCCCATTGACTGGTCCGACCAGAGACACAATCAAAGGTCCCAGGTAAAATGAGATAAAAATGTAGAACAAAACTCAAATTCGTAAAAAAGGTCAGACTTAACTGGAGTGAAAGACTGGGGCAACTATGAAACTACCACCTTTTTAGCCGAAACTGGATCCCACCCCCCATCCCACCCAGGTTACCTTTCAGCCAAATAAAAGACTAGCCTGTAAAATAAACAGTAACACAAGAGAAATGTGCTCCTTACAACAATCAACTATGCACGACTGAAGGGGCAACGTTTGCCCCAAAGTAAGGAAGGGCAGATACAATGGAAAGCAGGGTAGAAAACGGGAAGAGTGCTGACACATCGGAGGGCAGCAATCTACGTCCTCAGAACAATCTGTGTGTGAACTGGTGAATGGGACACCAAATTTGCAGTGTAAACTTTCACACAACGGTATAAAAAAAAATCTTTGTACGAAAGTGGGAAGAACTCTAAGATATGTTAGTCACAAAATATCTAAAATATCCACTTTTGGGTAAATCTAGAGGCAGCAACTACATCAATAGTTGCTTAGAGTTACATACGACCCAGGAGGTTGGGGAGTTAACAAAGGACACAAGATTGAAGAAAAATGTCCTAAAATTGATTGTGGTGATGAATGCACAACTCTCTTCAACATATCTAACCCATTGAATTGTGGGATACATTAATGATATGTCAATAAAATTGTTAAAATGAATATCCGCTTGGTATGTATATCATACATATGTATCAGAGCTATGTGTAGAAAGGTATTCAGGGGCACATAAATCCAACAGTGGTGACTACGGATAGCTGTACACCCAGCCAGTGAAGGCGACAGTGACATAGAAATCTGTTAGGGGTTGACTGAACTAATTCACAGAGAGAGCAAATTTACATAAATACAAAATGCATTTTTAACCCTAGCACCAAATAGCACTGCCCTGATCAAAGATGGCAGCACCCCTCTTAAAGATGGTGACCAACCGTGCTGCTGGAGTTTGTGAGGCTCTCCAATCTCACCCATCAGGCTCCAGAAAGGGCTCACTTGGCCTCTTCCCAGTATCCCACTTTACAGAGCTACACCCACGATTTATCCTATTCTGAGTTACTGTGATGAATCATCAAATTTTTAAAAAGTCAAGTCTGTTCCTATTTTGCTTTGTCAACCATAAGAGAACCCATTTAAGTCTGTTTGAAGCCCTATTTAAAGGGCACCACAGAGTTGACCTAAGTCAGACGTTTGTAACTCAGGGACTTCAACATGTGATAAGTTCATAGATACATCAAACCCTACAGCACCTGTTGTTTACTGCCAAGTTTAACCCTGATTGGGCTCCGTATGTCTAGTTCAATCTCGTTCTCATTACAAATTCCGCCCGGCCCCAGCTCAATGCCCTGGGGTCAATACCAACTCACAGTGACCATACAGGACATAAGGTTTCCCAGGATGTACATTTTTTATGAGAGCAGAAAGGCTCCCTGGGAGTTATGCCTTCACTGGGTCTGGCCTTCAATGCCAGGATAAATCAATGTTGACTTTTTCAATCTCAAGCTGGCAGCATTCCAATTCAATTTCTGAGCCAAATCATTTTCCACTTGTGGTCTGTTGAAATCTGAGTCATTTTGCCATTGTGTGTCAGAAAACTGAGTCTCCTTTAACCCTGCCCATAGTTTTTGTTATCCTCACATGGCCTGCTGTGTTCCTAATGACTCCCTATTTCTAAGTGACTGTATTCCTATATATTCCAATTTCCCATGTTACTCATAAAGTAAATGTATCAACAAGCAAACTCAATACAATGTAAACATCAGTCACTCCTGATGCATGAGAAGCATCTGATAGGCATTTAAGTTTCATACACACGCAGAGGGTGATGGTGGCGACTACTGTCCGGTCAGTTCTGACTCCTGTTGACCATGTGTGTGTCGGCATAGAAATGTGCTCCACAATGTTCCAAGAATGTATCTAGGAAGCAGATCAGCAGGCCTTTTTTTCCCCAAAACACCTCTGGGTGGTTAGCAGCTGAGGGCATAACGACTTTAGCACACACACAGACTCCTTTCCCACACAGAGCTGGTACATAAAATGAGATATTCCAGCGGCTTAAGAACCTACTCCTAAAGGTCTAAGAATCTACTTTGTACCCTTCTCTCCTCAGAGGGCCCCACACACAACCTCTGCTAGCAGCCAGAATGGCTTTCAGATATGTTCCTGAAGGCACCCCTACAGGTTCTGAAAATGGAGTGGTTTCCTCCCATACCTGCCAGATACGCTCCAAGGTGCATGAACTCCAGGCTGCCACAAAGGAGGAAAACCTTCCTCTTCCACCCTTAACACCCCCTCACCCTTTACTCACAAGTGAAAAGGAAATCGCTGAAAACCAACAACCAAAAAAACTCCCGTAAAGAACATAAAAACCTTGCGAGAGAATACGTTTCAATTCTATGATTACTATCGGCCAGCTAGGTGAGAGACCAGCCACTCTGGTGGCACAGGGGTTGAGCGTTCAGCTGCCAATCAAAAGGTTACTAGCACCTCCACGGGAGAAAGACTAGGCAGTCAGCTTCCCTACAGATTATCTATCGCCTTGGAAACGCTACAGGACAATTCCACTCTGTCCTACAAGGCTTCCATAAGTCAAAATCAACTTAATGGCAGTGGGGGTTTATTCTGCTTGCTTGTTTATGAAAGAAAAGGAATAGAGGAAAGCAAATGTTTTGAGAATGAAGGCAACGAATGTACAAGTGTGCTTTACACAATTGACATATATGTATGGATTGTGATAAGAGTTGTATGAGCCCCCAATAAAATGACTTTTTAAAAAAAGAAAGAAAAGGAATAGAAGACAGGAAAAGAATGAAGTCACAAACCATACAATGACACACAAAATAAAACAAAGAACATGTTGAATAACAAGGAAAAAACAATCAGTCGATTTCAAGTATAAATGTATATGGCAGCCTAAAAGCCAAAGTCTTGTCCAGTTCACTTGTCAACCCTCCCTACGCCACCCTTGTATCTACTCCCAAACCACCTCGCCAGTGTCCGGTTCAGGTGTCCACTGAACGAGAGAGCACCATCAGTGTTGGCTGACAGTCCCCCTCGGGGGCCAGGCCGGCTCTACACTCACCACTACCTAGTCGGCAGCACAGAGCACTTCAGAAGGCACTCTGGAAAAGCGGGCTCTCAAACTGGCCCTGGGGTCTGACCAGAAGGCCAGCCTTCTGTTTTTGTTTTTAATAGCAAACTTGCCAGGAAATAACTCAAAAGGTCAAGAGCAATTAATGGTAGACAAGCTCTTGGAAGTGATTTTATGGCAAGGAAATAGCATGACTTTTAAAATTTAATTTTCAATCTCAATGTCCAAGATTTAATGGTGTTTGTTGTTTCTTAACTCTGTTGTTTCTTATTCCATCAGACTCGCTTCTAATTTTAATACTAGAAGACCCACATGGTCTTTTCCAGTAGTTCTGATTCTCATCATTATAGGACATGGGCCAAAAATAAACCATACACCAATCTCTACATGATTCACTCCTGATTATCACCAATTTATATCTTTATCATAATTCAATATGAGAAAATTCAAGTTCTGATAGAGATGGAAATCTTGCTCTTGGTATTATTTTTAACAATCAGATTACCATAAATTGTATATAAGCTAAAAAATGCATACTGTGAGAAAATCCTGCTCAAATTTGTAAGCTCCACCTCCAGTGGCACAAAAGACAGTGTGGAGACTTGAGAAGTTTTTATCTCTGCCCATTTGAATAAAAGCAGGCATGTCATGAGTGGGAAAGCGTATAAAGTGCAGATTGCCTTTGCGTCCACACAGAGTCAGATCCTTCAGCTCGAGGTGCACGTCCCGGATGCCCGTGGACCCGTAAGCCACATGGGAGGTCAGGTACTTTCGAATGCTTTTCAGACTTTCTACTTCTTCCTCCTCTTCTTCAGCGGTGATGTCTTTGGGTTCAAAATAAACCAGCTTGACCAAGGTCCCACCAATATCCAAGCCAAACCACGGAAAAACTAAATGGGGAAGGGGAAAAAAAAGTCAGAATGGTTTTTTCCTAAAAACTGCAGTTACTAGTGTTGTAACATTTCAGAGTCTGTGGTTTTCAAAGGATATAATCACAAACAATAAGAGTTATGGGAAAAGAAATATGTTATCCAGTTTGCAAACATATCTTCAAATTTTATCTTATTTTATTTTCCAATTTAAAAATCCTGGGCAAAAAATAAATAAACAGGACAAAGATTGAAAAGAAGAACATCAGAATACTGATTCAAATTAGTATTACAGACAAAACCTACCTTGCAGTACAAAATATGCAAAATAACTAAGACTGGGAAATAACGGGGGAGGGGGGAACGGGAGCTGAAAACAAAAAACACCAGCCTTCCCACTGAACTAAAGGAGTATTAAGAATTTTCAATGCTCATGGACACAAATTAAACTAGCCAATACTATACGATGATCTCTGCATGGAAATCCCCAACTCTACATATTTCCAATGATTAATTTGTTTCTCAAAACCTGATATCCTAGAGATAAAAGGTTTCTTTCAATTAGCATTGGCATTTGTTCTCAAAAAGTTGCTTCAGTTTACATCAAGATGGGCTGCGTAGATCCCTTCCCACTCTAAATTCTAGAAATGATTAGATAGGGATCTGATATATTCTCTAAAATAATTCTGAGACAAAAAATGTGACTCAGCAGAATTAGACTGATAGAAGCATTAACTATTAACTGTCCAATCCAACCACTTCCCTGACCCACACAGATCCAAACAACCAAACCCGTTGCCTAGAGCCTTCTGACCCAGAGCCAACCCTTTATAAAGGTCAAGCTGACCCACAGTAACTAGTCAGACCCCTCAGAGGAGAGAGACTGCAGAAATTGAGAGCAGCTCTGGAATAGAGATAGGCAATGGACAAGCTCCATCCAAGCTGTAGCTAGGGATGACTGCCATGAGAAAACAGGAGCAGACCTGGGGCAATCATGTGTGATCTACTGGGAATTATATTTGACACAACGTGCCATGACAGCCACTACCATCTACTGATTCACCACCCACCCTCACGCCCCCATAAAAACAAACTCTTATTAACCTCACACATTTGAATCAGAATGCATCCACCCAGGGTGGCTGTTATTACCCAGAAAGAATGAAAAGCTCCTATGTCCCATACAATCCAAATCCCTCCTACAAGCATGTAAAAAGAAGGCAACGCCCTGAAAACAAGGATCCAAACGCTTGAGGAAAAGGTGGCGGGAACAAGCGGAACTTTTAAAATGGAAAACTACAACTACACTCCTAATAACCCGCTGAGTGAATGAAGTCTTGCACCGAACACTACACACTACATGATATCGTTGATAAGAAACTCCAGACAGGGAGGGTGGAGGGAGGATGGGATGGAAAGGGGGAACCAATTACAAGGATCTACATATAACCTCCTACCTGGAGAATGGATAAATGAAAAGTGGGTGACGGGAGACGTCAGACAGTGTAAGATATGACAAAATAATAATCATTTATAAATTATCAAGGGTTCATGAGGGAGTGGGGAGGGAGGGGAAAAATGAGGAGCTGATACCAAGGGTTCAAGTAGAAAGCAAATGTTTTGAGAATGATGGCGGCAACAAATGTGCCAATGTGCTTGACACATGGATGTATGTGACAAGAGTTATATGAGCCCCCAATAAAATAAAATTTTTAAAAAGAAACTCCAAAAATGATAAGCCAATTATTTCTGCCTCTGCTAGACAGCTGCTCAGGGACTGGGTCATAGGGAGGAGCGGACTGCACAGGTCAGGAGAAAACTTTCAGAGAACTCAAATCTTGATGGGGAGAGTTAAGTAGAATGGAGAGGTTTCATGGGACTTGTACAAGGGTAAGTCAAATACTGCTACAAAATCATAAAACCTTTAATTGGCCAAAAAAAAATCAAAATTTGAAGGGTTTTTTTTTTTTGATGAAGCTATTTTTTTACTCATTTCTAAAAGCAATGTTCCCATCTCTCTTAACTTTTCCTTGAATGTTACATTCCTCGATTTACAGTTTGGACAACCTCAAGGGGCTCAAACCATGTTGCTTTTAAATGTTCTTTGGGTTGGGGAAACAAAAACAAGTCTGAAGGGGCAAGATCAGGGCTGAAAGGTAGATGGGGTGAAGTTTTCCAACAAAATTCTCATAGGTCAGCCCTTGCTACCCTTAAAGGGTGAACAGGTGCACTATTGTGATGGGGGAAATTCCTCAACCTAACTTTCGGGGCTTTTTGCTCACCAATACCATTCTCAATGTTCTTAAAATATCTCAACAGGCTCCCTGAATGGTCCTGTGTCCTTTGAGAAATCTGAATCTAAGACAATGACTACCATAAGCTTCTGGTTTAATTTAAGCCTCCTGCCTTAAACTTAACTGACCAGGCAGAACACCCATCAGAATAGTTTTAATGGAATTTTTTGTTGTTGAAAGGCACCCTACCAAGACTGCAACAAGCGTGTTGCTGAGAGAAGCTGTCTACAGCCATCCACTTTTACACAGAGACTTTTTAAAACATATTTTGTTTGCGATAAAGCAGTACATGTATGCTCTGGAATCTGAGTTGTAATACTTTTTTATTTAGTCTCATCTCTGTCAAAACGCATGTATTGTACACTTTAAACAGATAAAGCTTAACACATGTATCAGGAAATCTTTATTTCCAAAGCGAAAAACAAAATTCGTACGACACATAAATCACATGAAAGCAAGTTTAGACTGCTCCCCAGTGACACACGCTAGAAGACTAGCTTCAAGTTATAAGGATAACGATTTAGAAATTTATATCCAGGCAAAGCAGCTTTCAAGTGCAAGTGCAAAATAAATTTTTTCACAAGAAAGAGCTCAACAACTGCTACTCAAAAACCTTCTCAAAAATAAACAGCAGTAAAAAAAAATAAACAGCAGTTGCACGACAATGTAATTTAAAAATAATCTATGAAGATATGCGCTATACACAACAATGATAAGCAGCCATTTGGAACTTGCAACTTTAAATTATTTCAACAAATGAAGTTGAAGAGGGACGGAAAAGAAAGTGAACGGAAGCTCTGTCTTGTTCAGGGAAAGGAAAATACAGATTCTGATTAATCCTAAATAAAATAAAATGGCCATTTAAGTGTGTTATAAATTTATAGATGAAAAACAAATAGAGAACAGGTCTTTCAAACCACTGGGTGGGATCAATTAGTTTGAGAACAGAGGCGGGGAAAACAAAATTAGTAAATACAAACAAAAAATCATAGTAATGAATGATTGGGCTGAGCTGAAACAGGTCAGGGCCCCGCTTTCCTGCTTCCTTGCACATCCCAGGAGGTCAGCAGCTGCCCCCTGAAATGAGGAGACAATGCCTAGAATGCCTGACTCCCTGAGAAAAGTCAGTCTGCCTGCCAGAGCTGATAAACTACATCCTGGGCCATAAACCTTGCTGCTACAGCCCGGACCCCCCTCTCCCCGCTTTCCTTTATAAACGCCAGACCCCGGCACTTCGCCCCGGGAACTCCCCACTAATAATAAAGCTCTTTCTGTTTCTGCTCTCCCTTTGTCCTTTCAGTTATCTTTGTCTCCCTGTGCCTCGGTTTACCCATCACTCGTCCAGTGCCTCGGTTTACCTCTCAATGAATACAGAAACTTATCAGTAAACCAAACCAAAACCAAACTCACTGCCATATAGTCGTTATCAGTAAGCAGAGGTAGACTACTAAATTTCTCTTCCAAAACAAACAGGGAAAGTCAACTACATGCAGATAGTGCTATAAAAAATCACTGAATATACAAGCAAATTAAGGGTAGATAAATGATAAAGCATCCACAATGCAGTCACTTGGTTTGTTTACAACGAAAATGACAATCAGAATTACTCTGATCAGGACCTTACAAAAACAAACACAGCAGACAGAATACTTAGCTTACATTTAGAAGTCATGGATAAAGGCACACCTATGTTTCAAGATCAAGACACCTCTCCATATAGAGATCTACAGAGGAAAAAAGACACACATCTCTCATCTCGTCTCTCAATCACAAATTATGAGGCTTCAAAGTTTGTGGAAATAATGGAATTAAAAGATAATGTTTCCATGAACTTCTTAAGTCTTCTCCATATTCACTAAAGTAGTAGGTGAGATAACTGACACCCATTTATTGAACTCATTTGCCACACTTCTCTATATTTGAATTTGCATAGGCCAAAGCAATGTATGCTGAAACAAGTAATGCTGAGAAAGCAAATGCAATTAGTAGCAGACAAAACAAAATTTCTTTCAAAAAGGAGACAAAAAGTGTGTCACTTGCACAAAAATGGTGTATCTGATAAATTTAGTCATGATTTTATATGTCCTAAGACACAGTTCAAAAAAATCTTCACAGCAACAATAATTTACAAATCAGTGTAAGAATGGACAGTCTCATCAATTACATACACATAAAGCTACGATGGATGTTAAACACAAATAGAATTCAAAAAACAAATACACTTTTTGTTCAAATATTCATAAACCATGGAGGAAACTGAAGTGAACTTCCTTAAAGAATATCAAAGAAGAAAACTAATTACATTCACTTACCAAGATACCCCAAAGAAATAAACCTATCTGGTGGGATAAACAATCCAGAGGATTAAACAACAGAATTGATGGTTGGGGAGAAACCGGAGAGGGGGAGGCGAAAGGAAAGGAAGTGGGTGTTAACAAACCCAGGAACAACGGAGAGTGATCTAAAAATCCATGGCAAGGAGGGCATAGGATGCTTGGTAGGGCTTGATCAAGGGCAATGTAACCAAGAGGTATTACTGATACCTAACTGAAGGCCGAACATTATAGTGGGACAAGAGGAAAAAGGAAATAGAGGAAACAATGAGGAGCCACAGGGCATTTACAGAGGTCTAAATACAGGCATGTACATATGTAAACATATGTTATATAACAATAAGGAAATAGATCTATGTACACATATTTATATGTTAAGTATTAAGGTAGCAGA